TCCCAAAGGAATTACAAGGCAGTGCAGCCAGGAGGCAGAACAATCCCTGTTCTGATTCCAGGGCTGGAAAAATCCTGGAAAACAAGTACCAATCTTTCCTGCAACATCTGTCACCATCTGCAGGTCTAGTGCACCCAGTGTTCCATCCTTGCACTTTATTACTGAAAAAGGTTGACTTGGGCCCAAAATGTTGTTGTAGATGTGTAGAAAATGTAATGTTGTATGGCTGTAGCCTTACTATGCAGCACCACATCTCTGCAAGGTGAGAACAGAACCAGCTGTGGTGCTGCTCATGCTTTGTACCAGCATGAGCAGAACAGAAGGTGGAGAAATTAATTTTCCTGAAGTAGTGGTGTACGTGAGGCCAGAGACCTTTTGTTTTGCACATATTTGGACTGCAGAATCCCAGAGATTCCAGTTAATCCCTTGTTGTGACCTTTGCAGACTGCACTGATTTTTTTCTGTATTATTTTTACACTGACTGAAGCTGAGGAACAGGAATAAAACAGCTGCTGTTGTTTGCTAGAGATAGGAAGTTTATCATGTGCCTTCCCTGGTCACAGACCAGGCTCCCCTCATAACATGGTAATCACTGAAGGGACAGGATCTCTCCCCCCCTACAGCTCAGATACTTTCTAGAGTCTGCCTCCCACTCCCCACAGCTTTAAATGCAGAGTGACTTCTAAGGGGCTTGTGGCACCTGATGTGCCATTTCTTCAGGGTTTGAAAAGAGTCAAAAGGAAGGTTCCCTCCTTTGTGCTCTTTCTGTAATTAATTAAAACCCAAACTTAATTAATTGCAGTCAACATGAAACATGCTACACAACTGCTCCGAGTACAGACTGATTGCCCAGTTATGCTGTTCTGGACCTTATCAGAAAGGGGTGGGAAAATACCAGTAAGGGAGACTCAGCTTGAGGCAGCAGGACTCCTCCTGCTCGTTCATCCAGCCTTTAATAAATGGAGATTAAGTACAGAATTTAGATTAGGTCTTCCCTGTGAGGGTGCTGAGGTGCTGGCACAGGGTGCCCAGAGAAGCTGTGGCTGCCCCATCCCTGGCAGTGTTCAAGGCCAGGTTGGACACAGGGGCTTGGAGCAACCTGCTCTAGTGGAAGGTGTCCCTGCCCGTGGCAGGGGTTGGAACTGGATGAGCTTTAAGGTCCCTTCCAACACAAACTGTTCTATGATAGGAGAGGTAACTTGCTGTAACTGGAGAGCAGGTAGATGTGTTTCTATTTAATACATGGGCTGAAATATTGGTTCCAGTCAAGTAATAGAAATTTGTTGGCACTGTCTTTAGGACCAAGATCCCACCTCACACTGACCTATGGACTTGATTTACTCAAATTGAAATCAGTTTGGGGTCTACTTTCAGAGAGGAGAGATGAATACCTGTGTGGTAGGGTCGACTACAGACCTCAGATGGGTGCTATGCAGGATCGCTAATATTCCCACTCTTTTCTTTTAGGCCATACTCATGGATCACAACTGTCCTGTGAAAACAAAAATGTATACGCAGAACAACATCCAGTCCTACCCCATAGGTGATGAAGAAGAAGAATACGAAAGCGATGAATAACATGAAAAGCCATATAACATATTTTGGTGTACAAAATGCAGTGTTTCATGTGAAACATCTCATCCAGAAATAGGTTTTAGTTGTACTGTACATTTAATAGTGAAATGGTCAAAAAGACCAAAGGTGTATTATTCATCGCCCATCGTTGTAAAGCAGACTGCTAACCGCCTTATGGGGGGGAGGGGGAAAGCTTTTTATAGAGGATTTGTATAGTGTTAATCTTTATTTTATTTAATTTTAATGAATATTACATTATATTTTTATTAATTGTGTAGTATAGATCTATATAAACATGTGAATTCTAGCTGGTTTTTAAAGTCAAATTC